CATTCAGATTAATGAGGAGCTGTTTGATGAGTCTAACTCCTCCAACTCTTTGGAAAAAGACTGGGTGCCCTACACCACCAACCTTAGTCAGCACTGGGCTGTGGCGAGAGCAGACACCTAGGGGTCTCTAGAGAGATAGAAACCTGAGAAGACCAGGACAGGCCCAGGTCCCAGATTGAAATATGGAAACTCTCTGACCTCTGTCCTAGGGCCTTCCCAGGAGTGACCCATAGTCCTGTTTCAATACAGTCTGGCCTTCGTTCGTCCCAGTGGCAACCTGGTTAGGTGGGAAGTGTCTGTTCACAAACTTGTAGAAATATTAGAGAAAAGGCTTTCATCTTGTTTTCACTTTACATTAGGCCATGAGCATTTTTGCATGTTGCTATCGTTTGTATTGTTTTAACTCCCCACCCCAGGCATCTCCTGTGGCATGCAGCTTCAGTCCTACAGACCTTCTCCAAAACTTAAAAGCCAACACTACTAGGGAAGTTTTTATGCAAAAATAGAGGAATGTGTTGTATAAACAACAAAAAAAAAAAGGGTGTGAGACTGCTTTATGCATGTTCCTGCAATGTGTCATCTCAAGAACTCACCCCCGTATCCCATCAGGGAAGGAGGTGTGCACGCACATGTCTTCATAATATGCCACAAGGGAGGCTCTTCCCCACAGTGGTTTAGTCTTTCAATGCTGATGCAGCATGGTATACCATCCTCTTTCCATGTCAGTCATACTGCAGGGAATATTGTGTGTGTGGACTAATAGGCTGTCATAGTTTGCTAGGACTGCCATAACACAGCATCACAGAATGAAGGGCCTTAAAAACAGCAAGTTGTTTCTTGCAGTTCTGGAAATTAGAAATCTAACAGATGTTGGTGGAATAACTTCTCCAAGGCTCTCTCTTTGGCTTGTAGATGGCTGTCTTCTAACTGTGTTAACAGAATCTTTTCTTGTGCTTCTGTCTTTACTACCTCCTCTTATAAGAACCTGTTATATTTAATTAGGTCCCATGCCAGTGAACTCACAACCTTAATTACCTCTTTAATGACCCTATGTCCAAATACAGTCACAATCTGAAGCAGTGCTCTTTTTGCCTTTGTAGAGGAAGTTTGTGGCAAATGAATAAATAGCAGAATTTTACATCATGGAGTCAGTATAAAAAAGGGAGGTGTGCAGGGGATTTAGGGCCACTTTCCTTGTGTTGGGAACTCTGATGTCACCATCTCATGAACAGAAGAGTTGTTATTATTATAGTCAGTATTTTTTATTTTTTGAGGTGGAGTCTCACTCTGTTGCCCAGGCTGGAGTGCAATGGCATGATCTTGGCTCACTGCAACCTCTGCCTCCCAGGTTCAAGCGATTCCCCTGCCTCAGGCTCCCAAGTAGCTGGGACTACAGGCATGTGCCACCATCCCCAGCTAATTTTTTGTTTGTATTTTAGTAGAGATGGGATTTTACCATGTTGACCAAGATGGTCTTGATCTCCTGACCTCACGATTCACCCGCCTCGGCCTCCCAAGGCAATTCTTTTAGCTGGTCTTTGTCCTTCACACAGACATAACAGAGGTCCCTGGGTGCTGTAAGATGGGCCTCAGGCCCACTTAGACATTTTGGAAGGCTGTGGTTAGGCTTCATTCATTAATTACATGTATGTTAGGTACTTAACTTGTGCAGTCCCTTTTGTAGCTGCTTGGCATAATTCGTTGAAGAAAGCAGATAATCACAGGACCTCAATTCTATCTGCAGAGTTAAACACAGTAAATATCATCAGGATGCCCACTGAATATTAACTGGTGATGTCCTCATGGCCTGCTCTCCTCTAAGCTAAAAAGTTTTTTACCACAATAAGCACTCCAAACTTCTCATGAGCGCTTACAAAGTAGTGTGTAAAATAACATGGGGTGGGGAGAACAGTGAGAAAGCTGCAACCGTGACTCGGGTAAAAAGGTGAAGGGCTTTGATGCATACATAAGTGGGGATGGACGTAAATGAAACCGGAAGATATTAGAAAATGAAAGCAGCACAATTCCTCTAAATTTGGAGTCAGTTGTGTAGCCTGGGTACAGACGCCCTCTCCAGACATGCAGAATCAATGCCATGTTTTCATCTGAATAATTTTAATCTCCTGGAGCCACCAACTCACTCCAACTGGAACACTAATTATGCAGTGTGTATAACACATGGTAGTGCTTTCAGACAGGTAGTGCTTTTCTGTGTTTGTTCACGTCATTTATGTCTAAACAACACCATGTCTGATGTAGAGACACAGGAGTTGGAAAAAAAAGAAATAAACACTACCATGACTGATGACATCTCCCTAGTGTTCACCTGAAGAAATTAACCCAATAAGATCAGATGACCAGCCATGGCTTCTATCCCAGGAAGCCTAGCAAACTTAACTTGAATTGTTTCTTGTAGCTGCCTATTTTAAACAAAAACAGAAATGAATGTCGACCAGTCAGAAGTAGTCAACAAACTTATATAATTAGGAACTTTTCAACAAGGTAAAGAAACATAAAACCGGCCAGGCGCGGTGGCTCAAGCCTGTAATCCCAGCACTTTGGGAGCCCGAGACGGGCGGATCACGAGGTCAGGAGATCGAGACCATCCTGGCTAACACAGTGAAACCCCGTCTCTACTAAAAATACAAAAACCTAGCCGGGCGAGGTGGCAGGTGCCTGTAGTCCCAGCTACTCAGGAGGCTGAGGCAGGAGAATGGCGTGAACCCGGGAGGCGGAGCTTGCAGTGAGCTGAGATCCGGCCACTGCACTCCAGCCTGGATGACAGAGCGAGACTCAAAAAAAAAAAAAAGGAACAAAAAACCAAGAAGAAACAAGTTTCTAACTACCACTAATCAAATAATTTATTTTGTTTCTACATTTTTCCAATAAATAGTTGCCTCTTACACTGTCAGTGAAACACTAAACTTCTTTCAGACTGGTGTCCTATAATCAATCAATTGCTCTTACTCAAACTCTTTACAATTTTATTGTGTCTCAGATGACTTTTTAGCAGAATAAAGTAAACTAGGAATCCATATTACAAAAAGGTTTACAGAATATCAGAAAAGACAGAATGTTCATACAATATATGAATGTAGATATAAGCAAATAGAAAACTTACATGTTCTTAGGCAGAAAAACTCAATATACTTTCAATATCAACTGTCCTTAGGTAATTTATAAATTTAATTTTGTTCTAATATAGATATCATTAGATATTGGAGGTAGACATTTTACTACAAAATAGCATATAGGTCGGGTGCAGTGGCTCACACCTGTAATCCCAGCACTTTGGGAGGCTGAGGCGGGTGGGTCACCTGAGGTCAGAAGTTCAAAATCAGCCTGGCCAATATGGTGAAACCCTGTCTCTACGAAAATACATAAATTAGCCAGGCATGATGGTGGATACCTGTAATCCCAGCTACTCGGGAGGCTGAGGCAGGAAAATTGCTTGGACCTCTGAGGCAGAGGTTGCACAAGCCGAGATCGCACCACTGCACTCCAGCCTGGGAGACAGAGCAAGACTCCATCTCAAAAGTAAATAAATAAATAAAACAGCATATAGATGAAAAGACAAGAAGAGCCAAGAAAACTCTGGAAAAAACGACAACAACAACAACAAAACACAGATAATATTGACCAGCCATGGAAAAAAATCATGATTGATTAAAAAAGCTAATAGATCATTGGAACTAAAAATTCAGAAACAGACTAAAGTGCCTAAGAAACTGTCTTAGTCCATCCAGGCTGCCATAACAAAATACCTTAGGTTGGGTAATGTAAAAACAACAGAACTTTATTGCTCACAGTTCGGGAGGCTGGAAAGTGCCAGATCAAGGCACCAACAAATTTGGAGTTTGGTGACAGCCCAGTTCCTCATAGATGGTACCTTCTTGGTGTGTCCTCACATGGCAAAAGAGACAAGGACACTCCCTTTGACCTCACTTATTCCATTAGGGAAGATGGCGCTCTCTTGGCTTAGTCACTTCCGCAAAGGTCACATCCCTAATACTATCCACATATGAATTTGGAGGGGGACACAAATATTTAAACCACAGCACAAATTTAATAAACAGGAAAAACTATGTGGAGGGTGATATCATTAATACTTGACTCGTGAAAAATTGATGTTCCTATCTCAAAGGAAAGAATTGACTTACTCTTCATGTTCTTCATGACATAGAACAAAATAAAGGTCCAGTGAAAGATAAATCTAGGCTGGGCGCAGTGGCTCAAGCCTGTAATCCCAGCACTTTGGCAGGCCGAGACGGGCGGATCACGAGGTCAGGAGATCGAGACCATCCTGGCTAACACGGTGAAACCCCGTCTCTACTAAAAAATACAAAAAACTAGCTGGGTGAGGTGGCGGGCGCCTGTAGTCCCAGCTACTCTGGAGGTTGAGGCAGGAGAACGGCGTAAATCCGGGAGGCGGAGCTTGCAGTGAGCTGAGATCCGGTCACTGCACTCTAGCCCGGGCCACAGAGCAAGACTCCGTCTCAAAAAAAAAAAAAAAAGAAAGAAAGAAAGATAAATCTATACGAACAAATAAATCGGTGTTAATAAGGTGAATTCCACAGGTTGTATCAGGATTTTGGAGATTTCTGGGGATGCGCAAGGCTCCAGAGTTTCCTCCTGTGACATTTTCCCTGAAGTTGCTCATGCTATTATTCAATTTGAAAATGGATAAAAATGTTTTTTCCTGTTCCAATATTTAAGAATTTCAAAACAAAAAGGCCTATGTATGCATGATTCTCAAACAGTCAGTGGTGCCCAGCTAAGGAAGGGCAAAGAATCTCACATCCACAGAAGTATGATGTTCTGTCAGACAAAGATGCCTCCCTGTGCCAGAGCCACATATTTTACACCTGATCAGAGCCTTTCACAGGGAAGCATTGCCCTGCAGCCCTACCACAGACTTAACCCTGAGAATCCGACTTAAACACTGATGAACACGCACGCAAGTGTTCTGAACTACATGAATCCTCTCTTAATGGTTCCTTCCAGGGATCTGGGATCTTTCCCAAAGTCATCTGCCACACACAGACCGACTCAAAAATGTGGACAAAAGCTTTGATCCTCACTGGCACACCTGCCCTGTCCTATCAGCTTCGCTAGAAGTAC